CCGCACGCAGTTAGAACGACCGATGAGAGAGGTCGATCGGCAGCTCCGGTCGTCGGCGGTGGCGACTGCGGCGGCGTGATGTCTCGCTCGCCTCGTTTCTGCCTCAGCTTACCGGACGAAACAGAGTGGCTGAGGGCGATGGCCAGCCGACGGCGGACGTTTTTCTGTTTCTTCTAGTTCACGTGCTGGTGGAGAACGATCGGCCGTCGTCGACGCTATTCACTGCTCAGAAACATTCTAAAAAACCAAGCGACCATTGTCCCCTTTTTTGCTCGCTGCGGTGCGCTGGAGAGCGACGGCTTGTTTACCGACAGCAGCAGCCGTGCTTCGACAGCGCCCTTGCGTTCTATGGCTATGTCGCCGACTCCAATGACTCCTGGCGCACCGCCGAGACAGCGAGGGTATTTCTTTCGTGCCAAGCACGCTGTACAAGTGGCCGTGGAATTTTGTACCTGCTATCATAAGGTCGAACGACCGACCTGTCGATGCCCTTGAGGTCCGAATCAACGTGAAAAAATTTCTTATTTTCTGTTATGGATTGCTGCCCCGCTCATTCTGTACCAAATTTCCCTCTAAAACACACGCCATGGTCGTCGAACCGTCGTCAGTCTATGCAAGCTCTGCTCTGCGTTTCTGCCGGCCGCATAACGCGGTCGTTACATCAGCAAACAACGCTTTCCGTCAATTTCTACCCTTGTTGAAACTTTTCTCAAACTACTGAAAAGTCGAATAACAATAGGTACTGTCACAGAACAATATGTTGCTAATGCTTCTAGAGTCTTCGTCAGTGAAAATGCATCATAAAGCTAACGGTCCGTGGAATGCAGTAACTATAGGCATTTCCTTGTTGACTTTAAATTTTTTTCAATGTTGTCCTTATTGACATGTCAGCCAACCGTTGTAGCTATATCGTTTCCATCCGCAAATTGTGAAGGAACCATTTTGTGCCGTTAGCAGCTTGAACGATTAAATGAAAAAATGAACTTGATTGATTCAACTGAATTTTAAACACCAGCGTTCGCATTCCAGCATTGCAGATCGAAAATGGATGAGATTTTTTTGCCGTTCTTTAGGCGAATGCATGTGACAGGGCTGCTGAACCAGGAACAGTCCGGTTCAGTCGGAAGTACCCTAATAAATGCCACTGACAAGATAGAATGAAACAGACCTGGGGTTAGAAAAGGTCTAATAAGTGCGCCACGATTTTTTTTATAATTAGAGCTCAGTCCACCGACACCGATATTTTCCGAGACGATACTATGCCTCTGGGATATCTGCAGTGATTCGTTTGGGTACACGACGTTCAACTGTAATTTACACCCACCCCTACTCCCCAATTTATATTCCCCTAACAGAGCGGCGTGCTAAAATCTCCTCCCTGTCCATTCTGGCCGACATTTGTCGGCTAAACGCAGTTCGACTCTTTGTATTAGGTTCTATGCTACCTCGCAAACTGTGACAATAGTTGAGAGCTCTTTCCATATACGGAAATCGACCCTCGTGGTTTCAGTCACTGTTGACACCCTGAATAATTTTTTTCTCCAGTACGAGTACAGAGACCTTGCTTCGTCATTTCTCTTGGAGATGAAAGACATGATCAAACATCGAGACAACATTCCCAACCAAACAGTGACAGTCTCCAACACTGTCAAATGCCTGCAGAAACCGATTACCTCCAAGGCATTTCGCCCTGACAAGATCTCCCTTTTCATGTGGCGTTTTTGCGTCACAGAACTTGGACCGATACTTACAGAGATATTCAACACGTGTCAACATTCAGGACAGTCACCGGCCGCAAGACTGGTGTCACCGATTCCAAAGAAGATTGAAACAACAGACTGCAGGGATTTTTATCCAGTTGTAGTTACCTCCTCATCGTTAAATATTTTGAGAGTCTGCCACTCACATCAACAAACGCTGTCTACGAGGGCGGCTAACTTGACTTCATAAATCTAAGATACGAATGTTTCCGAAAAATAGAAGCATGCCTATGTTTGTTGAGAATATCACCGTGAGCCGTCTGTATATTCAGAGCGTCTCTGGCTTGTGACGTTTGCCCTATTCTCAGCCATGGAAAACTTTTGCTATAAGCCACTGGATACTGCGTCGTGGGAGGAACAATTCCTCCTTGGATGCAGATCGGCTTCCATCTTGTTTCTCCACGTTACGTACTGATCATTTGATCAACGTCTTGTTTTGTTTATCATATGAGAATCTCACAGGCTGGAGTAAATGATTTGTATTCAGCCAGTTTGTCTAACAAGCAATGAATCTTCCTTTCTTGATCTCGAACTGTCTGATTTACATGAAGCCCATCAAACATCTCTCTTTTGAACTTTGCATAGGTATCCGATAGCATTTTCCACAACGTACTGAATCAAATGCAGCCCTAAAGTTGATAGAAGTGGTAAACCGAGCCAGTGATATCTTCGACATTGTCAAATGACTGCAAGAACAAAGTACAGAAGCACACACTACGGTGAAGTAGGTTCTCTATAACAGCTGTAATATCCATGTAGACCGTTAGTGACCTTAAAATGGTCGGCAAGTGAAACAGTGTCAATTGGTTATGCCTTATGTTCAGGAGAAGTAAACGTTACCTGAGGAATTCGAAGCTACGAATCACATCTAATAGAACTTTCCATTTTGCTAAATGCCTATAAACTGAAAATTATCATTTTTGGGAGAGAGGTGCGGAAAATTCGAGCGACACCGCTTAAAGTCATCAGGAACATAAAACAGACGAATTAACATTTTTCGTTCATTTAATTGTCCAAACCAATTGTGAAGAAAAGCTTAGGCAAAAGTGCATATCGTTTTCCAACACGTTGAAAATGATATTACCTTTACTGATGTCTTTATTCGTCACCGTGTCATGCCATTCCTTATCTGCGCTGTAATGTTATTCACAACGTGAATGGCAGATTTGTAACTATGATATTGCATATTTAATATAATTTTCATATCTAACTCTCCAGTCATTAACGAATGCTAAAGAGGAATGCAACATAACTTTCTGTACGGTCCAAGTGCCTTGTTACTAAATCCATCGATTAACCGCTAGAGTACCTGATTTCTATGCA